GTCCCTGGGTTCACAAATGCCCCCCTGGAGCCTGGGTCACAGGCATCAATTGGGAACCTGAGGCCACAGGAGTCACCCAGAGCAGCAGGAACCAGCTGGTGCTGGAATGTGCTGGAACCTGGTGGAGCCTGCTGGGAACCTGTTGCCATGGGAGCTGCCCAGGGCCCCTTGAGCTGGCTAGTGCTGAGTTAAACTGGGAGCCTATGTTCATGGGAGCATGTCAGAAACCTGGTGCCAGGAGAGTCAGCTGGTAGGCGCCTGAAGCCAAGGTAGCTGCCTGTAGCCATGGAATCACCTGTGGTCACTGGCCACCTGGGACTGCTGGAGCTCGCTAGTTCCCTAGTGGGCTGGAAAGTTGAGCTTGCAGGGACCCTCTGAAAACCTGGAGCTATTGGATCTTGCAGGCACCACTGTGAGACTGGGGTTTGACTTCGTGGGAACCTGCTGAAAGGCTGGTGCTACAGAAGCCACCTGGGTCTACGGGAGCTCCCTGAGGCCACTAGAGTCAGCGGCTGTTGGAATGAGCTGGGGGTCTGGATTTGTAGGGGCCTGCTGGGAGCCTGGTGCCACAGGCGCCACCTGGTGCAGTGGGAGCCACCTGGGATCACTGGAGCTGGCAGGTGTCAGGGTGAGATGGGGGCCTGGATTCACAGGGGCCCACCTGGTGTCTGGTACCAAAGACACCGCCTGGGGCCACTAGAGCCAGTGGGCACCAGGATGAGCTGGGAGCCTAGTGTTGCAGAAGCCACTTGTGGCCGCTAGAGTTGTCAGGCAGCTGGGTGGACAGGAGGCCTGGGTTCCTTGCAGTGGAAGCCACCTGGAACCATGAGAAGTGCCTGGGGCTGCTAGAGTAGGCCGGTGCCAGAGTGAGCCTGGTTCACTGGAGCCCACCAGAAACTTTGTGCCAAAGATGCCACTTGGGGCTGCCTGAACCAGCAGGCAGTAGGATGAGATGGGGGCCTGGGTGCCTGGGAGCCTGGTGTCACTGGATCTACCTGGGGCTGACAGAGTTGGCAAGTGAGGAAGTGAGCAGGGGCCTTGATTCGTGGGAGCCCACCAGGAGTCCTGCTGTGGAAGCTGCCTGGAGCTGTGCCAGCTGTCTGAGGCCTCTGGAATAGACAGGCATTGGGGTGAGCTGGGGTCTGCGTTCATGGGAACTCGCTGGGAGCCTGGTGCCAAGGATGCCATTTGGGGCTGCTGGAAATGCCTGTGGCAGCTGGAGTCAACAGGTACCAGGGCGAGTGTGGGGGTCTGGGTTCATGGGGGTCTGCAGGGAGCCACCTAGAGCTGCCAGAGTCAGCCTGGTGCTGGGGTGGGTCCGCTCCATGGTCCGCAGTGAAGTTGAGCACTCACCTTACCCTCCTTCTCCCCTGAGAAAGGTGTCTCTCTCCATGCTGTCCTGCCTGGGCTTGGGGAGGAGTAATGAGGTAGTGTGAATCTATCTATCTTACCTTCCTCAATGCATCCTTTCTTATTTCTGTGCTTTACTCAGGTGCCGTGATCCCTCTCCTGGAATCCTTGCTCTTGTGAAGGTATTTTCATCCATGGATAGTTCAAGTTGATTTTGGGTTGTGTTGGTGCGGGGCAGAGAGGAACAAGCAGTAGAAATTTCTATGCCACCATTTTGCTAACTTCGCTATCCTCAGAGATCTCCTCCTGATTTTGTCCTTTCAGGCCTATGTTTAAATAAGACTAGTTGTGCTCTGATGGCCAGAATTCTGGTAAGGTCCAATTAGTTATGATCCAGAAAGGATTATTTAACCGCTTAGAAAGATACTGAATTTAGCATATGGAACTAGGTTGTTTGTGTAAGGGTCTCTATGATCTTAGATGAAATGTGAACTTGGCAAATTCACCTGGCCTTTGGAGAGAAGAGGCCATCAAGTTCTGATTCTCCATCACTTGAAATATAATCTAAACTAGTAGACCTGGATTTGGTAGAGATTTCATAAATTTAGCCCCAATTTATGTATATATCACTAGCGCATAAGACATAGTAGATCGTTAATAAGTGGTTGTGACATAGGCATACTATTTTTGAAGAATATTGATGTGCTTTTACCTTTTAACATTTACTCACGAGATTCTCCATATTTTGCTAATGTGCCTATTTCCCTCATTGTTTGTGTATGCTCTGTGTATATATGTGTGTGAGTAAGGGAGCGGGTTAGGATTATAGCAGGAATGCAAAAAAAAAAGAATGTCAATATTAAACTTTTAGCATGTAGAATAGGATTTTTTCCTAGTCTGCAGCAGGCAATAATCTTAAAAAACAAATATTGTTAAGACAGAAAAAAAGCTATAAAAACTTTTTTAAAGTTTACTTTGACATATGGAGAGCCAGGTTGGTGAAACAGGAAGTTGATGTGGTATCTTCCACAGACTAGAAAGGAGATACTCCTTCCATCATTCAGTTTGGGGCTTAGTGTCTCCAGCAAGGGGGATATGATATTGAGGAAGTCCATTACATAGCAGATAAGTAGCTGGAAAACCTGTCCCTCTATCTCAAATGACTGTGGTAAGAGAAAGAGGACAGTATGATGACAGCTAGGGAACCATAGGTCTTTTGTCTCTTCCTAGACTAAGATCTCAGTGTAGGATTCTTATTAGAGAGCTTAAGGGAAAATCTGAAATCAGAGGAGTTTTTGTTCTATACCCAATTTGGGACTGTAGGAGGAGATTTCTTTTCAGTGTTCCCTCCGTATCAAAACGGGGCGGCAGCCACATCTGAGTCAAGTTGATGGATGGCATAGGAAGGCAGAGGGAGGAACCGAGTTTACTTGCTCAGAGTCTCCTTTGGCTCCTGTGTGATATAGAAGGTATTTAGAAGTTCTTGCACATCCTATGGAAATACAGGGAAAGTAGCTGATGGTGTTGTCTGGAGAGTCATCATGATACAGGCTGAGGGCTGTAGAGTGGGGGATCTTGAGCAAGGTCAGTGATTACAGAAAAATCAATAACCAACATTTGCTTTCCAATCTGAGTATAGTGTCTAAATGTGTCAGCCCTTACACTTGTTGAAAGAATATATAAATTAACAATTCCTTTTCTTATCCTTGTTAGCTCCAACCAGCCTGATCGGTGATCTCCACTATGCCATGGTAGCAAGGGGCCTGCCTCTATTAACTGCTTTTCCCATAGGTTTGACTGAGGCAAGTACAGTTATGTTTTAGTGTCCTGAACCTCTGCAGCTCTCTGTTCTGACTGCTCAGATCTGCTCAGATTTTGGCATGCCATCTAGACCATAGTGGCCTAAACATGATTTTCAAATGCAGCTGTGCAGCAGTAGCCCTGGGCAACATACATCTCTCTCCTACTAGTCAATACCTGATCAAAATGAAGCAAGCCCAACTGGACCATCAAGAAGATGGTATTCAGTCTTGACTTGCCTTACCAGGCCTGACTCTGGACATATCTCCCTATTAGTGCCATCTTGCTCTGACTGGAGCATTGGCAAGCTGGGTTGTGATAGGTCCTTTGATGTTTTCTTTTCCCACTGGCTTACACTCCAGTTTAACTTGACAGGCCAAGCTGTGGTCTGGGAATAAAGGTTTACGTAACTCTACTTCTACATTGATTTGGATAAGGTATGAATTTAAAGATCCAACAGAGCTGTGTGTGTGTTTATTTTTTTTACAGCATCTGTATGCCTCCATCTCTACGCCTAGAACTGAAGATGTCTATAGCCCTCTATTTAGAATTAAAAACAATGGCAGGGATAAGAAACAAAGGAGGAGAATTTTATTTTCGTGTTTAAATATTTTAGATATTGGGACAATAAATATCAAAAAGTCATTCAAGCTGCACTTGACATAATCTAAAGCCACACTCTTTATAACCAGAGGAAATAGATTTTATTTAAATTCAATTTGTCAAAGTACAAATATCTTTGTACAACTTATGTTGCTTTTTGTAAAACTTAAAAGGTAGTAGTACATTTTATAAGTGTCTCTCTGGATTTTATTTGTTGGTTTTACATACTACAATGCAAAGCCTGTTTAAAAGAACATACTGCAGATATTCTAAAATCGTACATTTACTTGAAAAGTTACTTTCATAAAGAAGTTTTTTCAACATTTTATCTTAAATATTTTTATAATGGAATAAACAGAAGTAAAAATTTAAAGGTAAAATACTACCCAACTAGCCTTTTTTGTTGTTTTTTAATTTTAAAAGTTTTTTGTAGTGCATATATCCTTAACATTTTCTACTGGATGAATATAACCATTAACAGAAGAACATGTATTGGTACATAAAAGATAATTATAGAATTAACCATGGCTATTGAACATTTGTTGTTTCCATGTGTTAATATTGTAGAATATCTTCTCAATTTTAATGCACTTTTAAAATTGTTTTGTTTCTTAAAACTTGTTTAACTTGATGGTAGGTGTTTATAGAGTTCACAGAAATGTTTGAGGAGAATATTACTTTGTATACAAGTGAGGCCCTGACACTCTAAAGCTGAGGTCACAATTTGTATCAATATGATATTCACTATTTTATTGCACAGATTGTGTGTATGAAATTACAATAATAATTTGACAAGACAACATACATCGTAAGGAATGCCAAATGTATATGTGTGCTTTGGAAGATGATGCAGTAAAAGAGTAAGTCTGTGAAAATTTTAACGTACTGTGATCAGCATAACAAACTGTATCAATGAGCTATTGTTTGTTTTTTTTAGCCTCAACAGAGTAAAAGCTTTCCTCTTGGTAATTGTGAGGTATTATTTAGCTATTTGGGGTATTGTTTGAATAAGAGAATGATGTTTTACTGAAAATCAGACTTTATATTTTAAACTTTAGATGTTCTCTTTCATATTAGTTATGTTCCAGATAATAGAGTACCTTTTTTTGGAAATAGAAAATGTTTTTAACTTCTCACACTCTAAACTTAAAAATTACCAATGCCTTTATAACCTTTCATACTTTGGTCACTGTCAATTTCTCTTAAAGATTTTAACATTTTAAAGTAATGAGGCTAAACCTAGATGATCAGATTTCCACTTATATTATCAGCTACAACAACACATACACTTAACACCTATATGTAATTCATGTTTGAAAACTTGTTTTGGTTTCACAAATGAGAGCAATTGTAACTACATATTAAAATGACACAAGAATTTTCATGTTTGATTACTAATTGAAGGAAATAAAACATGTTTCTTCTTTTTTTTCCATCCTACTCCATTTCTTGAAATTATCCAGTTTCCTTCCTTTTGAAAAAGATAGCTTTATGGTAGCTTCATCATCACAACACATGCACCAGCTCTTCCAATGTTAACAGGAACTTCCTAACACAAAAAACAAAATCAAGGAAAGAAATACTGTTTGGATGAACTCTGTCTTTAGCATAATATAGCGTGTCAAGTTGTAAAAGTCCTTGGCTATTCTGGTCCAACCTTCACCTTGTATAAAGATAAGGGAAAATGCAGCCCAAATAACAGTCCAGTGTGGTGGAAAGAACATAGCCTCTTAAATGATGTAGACCTGAGTTTGGGGAGCAGGTGATCTTGGGTAAGTTTCACCTCTCTGATAATTTTCTCACTTGAAAATTTACAGCTAATACCACTCATCCTTTAAGGTTTTTGTTAGGGTTAAGTGAGATAATAAATGAAAATAATTTGGCATATAGTAGTTATAATCCTATTATCTGTTAGTTCTCTTTCTAAAGTCACACAATGAAACAGTGAAAAGCCAGCAATAGTATCTAGGTCTCTTAGCTACTATTCTACAATTTTCAGAAAGTAAATTCCACAGGCTTTGACAAACATTTTGATTATTGTATTTGACCTAACTCCTTGTTTCCTACAATTTTTTCTTCCAGTTCTATCTGGTCCTCAGCATTGATAAAGTAAGGAGCTACATGCATGGCAGAATTTGAGTCTTTCTGAGGATCTTAATGAATCAAATTGTTGGAGGAAATAGAAACACATAATGAGCTGTCATTATATTAACACATTTATTTAAAACAGTAACCAGCTTACTGTGTAGAATACAAGCATCATGAAGTAAGTATACGAGAAGGTGAAGTTTGATGCCAAATACAAGGTTGGCCTGTTTGTGGAAATGGTGAAGAGTTAATCATACTTCATTTTTTTTTTCTTTTTTGGTGAGGAAGATTCGCCCTGAGCTAACATCTGTTGCCAATCTTCCTCTTTTTTTTTTTTTCCCGCTTGAGGAAGGTTAGCCCTGAGCTAACAGCTGTGCTAATCTTCCTCTGTTTTGTATGTGGGATGCCTTCCCGGCATGGGTGATGAGTGGAGTAGGTCCGTGCCTGGTATCCAAACCCAGGCCGCCGAAGCAGAGCATGTGGAACTTGAACCCCTTGGCCACGGGGCTGACCAGAATCATACTTTTTTTTTTTTTTTTTT